TCCAGGACGGTAAACTGGACTGTCTGGAAGAAACCAAAGAAATATCTGGAAACAGAAGACTCAGCAAGGAGGAAGAATCACGCGATGCCAAAAGGCCTCTGTGCATCAAGAAGTCTGAAAGTTCCGCCCCCGAAAATGTGTGTTTCCCTCTGACCAAAATGGGACTCTTCTTCCACGACTCCTTCTTCAAGGACTCTACGGAGGAATTCAGGAAAGCTGTTAGGGAAATCTTGACAAGATGGGGAGAAGCGTCTCCGGAAGTCGATGATCTGACCCGCTACAGAATCCTTCGATCTCGAGATTCGCGAGAAGAGACTCAGGCCGTCACGTCTTTGGAAGATGACCGTCACCATAAGGTACAAATGTGTCACTGATATTTCAGTATCTATGCAATTACCCATTTCAATATCTTGATATTTATTAACGCTTTATTTGTGAATTTTTAATTGAAATAAACCACGATATTGATTGGCTTTCCCATATATTTCCAGTTTGTCATTGACGTTCATGATTTTGTTGACGGCGGAGAGGTCAGCGTGAAGGCTGTGAACGAGCGAGAGTTGGTGGTTGAAGGTCAGTTGGAGAAGAAGGGAGACGGTTCCAGGTCCAGCAAGCGGTTCCTTCGACGCTTCGTTGTTCCTGGAGACATTGAGCTTGAGGCTGTCACTTCCGTCACGTCTTCCGATGGTGTGCTGACAATTTCGGCTCCGAAGAAGGTGAATCTTCTCAAGAATTTCCTCTAATATTTCACGCAGTAATTCGTCTACAAGATGAAGCTTAAAGCTATTTATCTTAAGCTTGATATATGCAATTTCACTATCAGCCATAGTCCACTGTTATGTGGATTCTTTTTATAATAACAAGTTGTATTTCCTCTTCCAACAGAAGCCCCTTTTGAAGCTCACCAACGAAACGCAGAAAAGAGACACAAAGGAAGCGAAAAACACAAATCAAAAGGCAAATGAGTTTTCGTCCAATGAAACTTCTCTCTGTTCATCAGAGGTAAGTGTGCTAATAACACCAACGTTCTACCTACCCCATGATACACATGACATAAATGAGGAAATTATATGTATAAAACAATGAACAACTATTACCTCATTTTATACATTGCTCCACAGAAATGCCAAAGAAAAGAATCCATTGTTCCAATCCAGTTGGAAAATAAGGAGGAAGTGGCAGTTCCTGTTGTTTACGAAGGAAACACAGCAGATGCACTCGTGTCTGCCGACAAAGTTGAACAGAAACACTCATCTGCAGACCTAATGAGCCCAACTTCAGACGATGACGACGATGAAGGATACACATTCATCGTGAGACAGCCTGGAAATTCCTATCGAGTTACCTTTGGTGATGATGAAGAATCCCATGCGTGGAAGAGGGATTCCTCACTGTGTGATCCCGAAAGCAAGTATGCTCTTAAGAGTTCAGGATATGATTGCGTTAACAGGAACTTGCCCATCGTCAGGAAGGGTCTGTTTGCTGACGATTGCTGCTTCGAGAATGTTCGTCACAAGTACAGTCAGGCAGTGAGAGAAGTTTTGGAAAAGGCTAATGAATGGTCTTGTCGAAGTGAAGCCATGGAAAACTACAGGAAACTTCGTCAGCAGAAAGTCAATTTAGAAAATCAAGCAGTTGGAGTCTCAGAGGATTCAGAATCGCATAAGGTAATTCATAGTTTTGTTAAGTCTGTAGCTTTTTAAAAGATTCCAGTTATTCAGTTCATTATATCATAACATTAAGTGCAAAAAGTAGCTGAATAACATGCGTTTCTCATCTCCAGATTGTGATGGACGTGTTTGACTTCATTAGCGGCGACGTGAAAGTGCGCTTGGTGGAAGGAAAGGAACTGCTGGTCGAGGGTCAAGCAGAGAAGCAGGACGGAAGCAGAGTGTCTCGAGTGAGCTTCGTGCGTCGCTTTGTGTTGCCTGAGCTCGTCGACCGAGACGCCATCAGCTGCGTGTTGTCCTCGGACGGAATCCTGACAGTCATCTCCAAGAAGAAGGGAAAGGCGCATGGTGAGCGCGACCACAGGAGGAGTCCTCAGTAGGATGAAATCCTACCCTGGCACGGGGCAGAGGCAGAGGAGGACTGAAGATGTGCAGGAGACGTTGAAGAATCTGATTCCTCTACTAAGCCTAACCTGTACAATAACTACTTCCAGTCTGTACTGGTTACGTGAGAGGTGCAATTTCTATAGACTGTGATTTATTGTATAAATATATTTTTGGCATTAAGAGATTATGTGAAACGTATATGCATATGAAGTATGCGTGTGTGTCCGTTGTAAATATACTACTTTTTTCTATTACTAGAAATGTACCGTTTTTTTCTAAATAAACTGATTTTTTACAAACTGCAACACTGAATCGAAATCTTGTTTGAAAAACTCACCTATGTGTTTATATATAAAATAATGAAGTATAGATGGCTGTCGATACATGTGAATATAAGCATACATAGACATATATACGACATACAAACATCTCTTCTCCTATGTCTATCTACTCACGTGTGTGTGTGTGTGTGATATGTGTTTACAGTATGTATGTATGTACCGGTGACGTTTCGAGTCACACTAGCTGCCTACTTAGGTGAAAATACTAAAGCAGAAGAAGTGCCTAAATTAGTATTTGACACAAAGACATGGCAACAAAGAAGACAAAATGACCATAACCAAAATCAGGCCCCACCGAAGCCAGGATCAAGTGTTCGAAGGTAATCCTGACCGACTAACAATAGAGATGATGTTAGAAGGTTAAACCATGCCCTTTCTCTCTCTTTCTCAAAAAAGAAAATTTAAGAAAAAAGGGAAAATTATATACGTCTGGTTTTTGTTTGTCTTTTAATTCTTATATTTCTTCTCTTCACCATACTTCCTCCTGAAATAATAGTTAATTTGATGAATTCAACTTCTCTTCCAAATCAATGGGCTGTGTGTAACTTGTATCAATATCATTGATAATAGTAATAAACATAATTGTAATGACAATAATAATAATAACAATGAGGATGATAATCATAGTAATAACAATAATGGTAATGCTAACAATGAAATATGTAAGATAATAGCAATAAGTGATAGCAATACGACTACTAATACAATTACTCGTTCAAATGATGATGGATATGAAAATAATGATAATAAGGATGATAGTAATATAAATATCATAACGATATTACTAATGGTAGTAATGGTAATAATAAAAATTATATTAATAACAACAATAATCGTCACAGCAAGATAATGATACTGTTACTGTTACTGCTAATGATGATGGTAATGATGATAACGATAATAATATTAATAATGATAATAATAATAATGATAATAATGATACTAACAATAATGATAATAATAATAATAATAATAATAATAATAGTAATAATAATAATAATAATAATAATAATAATATCAATATCAATATCATTAATGATAATGGCTATAATAACAACAACGGTAGCAACCAATATTAATACTACTACTAGTCACAACGATAATACTGATAGTACTAGTAATATTAATACTAATAAAAAATGATGATAATTCTAATAACAACAACAATCAAAAATATGTCGATAAAAATTATAAAAATAATAAGGATTATGATAAAAAAATTGTAACGATAACGACGGTAAAAGTATGAAATAAAAATAAATAACATGAACAACATTAATGCTAATGCTAATGATAAAAATGCTAATACTCACTAACGATGGAATTAGTAATAATGTTATCACATTATTATTTTATTTTATTTTTTTCTCAACGTTGTCATTTTTCTGATCACTATTTATTTTACATAAATTTTATTTCTAATATAGTTAAAACATAACTGACAGATTGTTTCATTACTATGACTACTACTATTATTATCCTATTATCATTATCACATATCATCATCATTATAATTTCTATGATGTTTATGACTTTATAAGGCTCTGTATACATAAATATTCTCAAGAAAATATATTTTCACTCATAGACTTACACATACCAATTAATCCTGACACAGTCATATATTTCATATGAAATTAATAATAGGGCTAAAGGAATGGCCTGACTAAGAACACAAATATCGCGAAAGAATGATTCTTAGGACCTGAATCATGCGTCTCAAAGGTTTGGCAACGCCTAAAACGCTATACTTACCTTGTGACGCCTTTGTCGCGTCACCGACTCACACTCCCGATGCCGCATATAAAGGTCGGGATCCTGCCCAACTTCTTCAGTACAAGAGCGACCGTCCTCGCATCTCCTTAGGCTAAAGAACTGATTCTGTGTATAATCTGAAAATCTTGCGTGCATAATGGCTCCCATCCAGAAGTGTTACGATGTGAAGATCTCTGCCCCTGGCGTGAGTTGCTGTCGGTGTGGAGGATCCACCAAGAGGTCCTGTTACACGTTCCTTCCCATCACTCGAAGGGGAAGCTTCTTTCAGGATTCGTTCTTCTCTAATATACATCACGACTTCGACGCCGCCGTTAGGGAGGTTCTGAACCGATGGAGCGACGATGACCTCACACTGACGGATCGCAGTAACGACAGTGACATCATGGGGCGTTACAGACAGCTTCGCTCTCGCAATATGAAGGATGAGAATCAGGCCATTACAGTGACTTCAGACAGCACTAGTCATAGGGTAAGTTATTGACTTTATAAATATATACTTAAGTTCATATAGTGTAGTGGTTATAGGGTAACCAGTTATAGGGTAAGCTGTTCACACACACATATATATAGATGAGAGAGATATGGCAAAATTCATTTGGTTATTCAGAACAATGGTTCTGAACCTTAGCAGTCTGACTACACATTAAAAGTACATCCTACACTTCTGGGACACACCAACTCATGAATCTAGGAAACACATGTAATATGAACAAAATACTGTAAAGAACTTTGTTATTTTTTATTAATGGAAAACTTCAATTTACTTTCACAATGCACATCAGAAAAATGTGCGACACACTTATAGGGTAATCACGTTGCCACAATAATGTGTGGCAACGTAAAGATTAAGAACCACTGCTTTAGTGGTATACAAGTATATGTTAATTGCGGGTTGACAAAGCCCATATGCCAGAAGTGAAGTGAAAGATTCCGACATTTGTGTTTAAAAGGAAAAGCCCGAAGAGTCTATGGCAAATGATTTATGACATTAAACACATACACACTCAAAGTCCAGATATGCAAAACTGCACCAATCACTTGATTATTGAGAAGTGTTTAATTCACAGATTGTGTTGGACATGCACGACTTCATGGGTGGAGATGTGAAGGTGAAGGTAGTAGGTGAGGAAGAACTGGTGGTGGAAGGACGTATGGAGAAGGAAGAGGGAAAGTCTTCCATGTGTGCGTACTCATTCAGAAGACGTTTTTCCTTGCCCCATCTTACTAACTTGGCAGCAGTTACATCTGTCATGTCTTCAGACGGAATCCTCACAATCACTGTGTCCAAAGTTGTAAGTATCTAGTGTGTGGAGTCTTTCAATCGAATTGCAGTTCATACAAAAATTAAACACGATATATAATTATATGAAATGTCAATGTGAACTCAAAGATTATTTTCTTCTTTAGGGAGATGCACAACAGAAAGCCACCGTCATTCCCGTCCACATAGAAAATACTCAGAATACCTCAAGAACTCAGAACTGGGAATCTGACACATCTACTGCTTCTGTTGAGGCCACCTCAAAGTCCATGGACGTAGATCAAAAAGAATGTGAATGTACAAGCTCTTTGAAAAGCAGATGCCAGGCTAAGAAGACAGACATTCCAGTTAGCAAGGCCTCTCATACACAGGAGGAGGGATTTTCTGCCTCAGAACAAAAAAATTCATCAGTGTTCACAAAATCCTCCTACACCGAAGAAAGAGCAAAAAGCGGCTCTAATGGTTCTTGGGACACCATACTACCCATCACTCGAAGGGGAAATTTCTTCCACGACTCCTTCTTCTCTGATATACATCAGGATTTCAACTCAGCCATCAGGGAGGTCCTGGAAAGGTGGAATGACACAGATCTGAAGCTGAGAGACCGCTGCGACGGCACCGACTACCTTG